GGGGGTTACCAGGGTGATGATGAATCATGTCTTTTTTTCTCTCGCCGCCGCTGTCGCCGTGCCGCCGCAGCCGTGGTGTTAGTAGTTGTGGTATGTCATGGTAGTGGTGGTGGTGGTGGTGGNNGTCGTGGTCGTGGTGGCGGCGGCGGTGGCGATGGGGATGGTGGTCGTGGTATTGGTCGTGGACGTGGTCGTGGTCGTGGACGTGGTCATGGTCGTCGTCGCTGTCTCCGTAGTCGTTGTGGTCTTGGTCATGGCCGTGGTGGCTGGTGGTCGTTGTGATGGTCGCGGTGGTCGTCTTGGTCATCCTGGTCGTGGTTGTGAGGACTCAATACCGGTCCGTTCCTGGGGTTCCCGATAATGAGGATTATAACAGTTTGGGATCTATATTAGGCCCCCCATTTGTGGAATTTTCAGGCATTGACACTTATAATGGATGAGTGTTTCCGAAACTGGGTGGCCCCAGCCAACATAGAAACGAACATATTCTATTTCTTACTATATGGATCCCCCAAAAGGGACCAGTAACTTACCCTGAACCCTAAACTCGACAGATGAACGCCATACTTCTGTGGTGACGTTGCTTTCAGGTTAATACTGGGAGTTGAGTCCTTTAGGGTTCAGGGATTTAGGGTTTAGTGGAAAGTGCGCTTCTTGTCTACTGCCCTGATGACAGCAAGAAAAAAAGTACTTTCCTCTAAAGGGGTGACGCCAATACAGGCCTCAAAATACTATAGCTTTGAGTTTAGGGACCACCAACAAATGACGCGTTGTTTTCACCAACCTCGATTGGCTCTTGTCCTCACTACCTTCCTCCGAAATCCCCACAGAACCCCTCCCAGCCCAGTCAGGTCTGCACATCCAAATTTCTTCCGGGGGTTGTCGCTTGCGGTCTGGGTTTGGAGAAAATGTCTTGTTAGCTGAAACCCTAGGACTCTCTGGCCCGAAGCCTTGTCTTGTACCCCAAAACGCTGGGCCTGAAGCCTACATCCTAAATCCCGAAAAAAACCCAACTCCCAGGCTGTAATTCGGGAGCCTATAGTCACTCGAGGGTACTAAAAAAAGATAACACACATTAACAGATAGCACGAGTTTTTCGGGGTCACCACCGAGGCGAAGTGTCCGAGATGTTGTTGCAGGTGGCCCTTCCCCACAGGAGAAAGTTTAGGATTTAGGGTTTAGAGGGTTGGGTCCTAGGGGTTTAGGGTCCAGGGGTTTAGGGTTTAGAGTGTAGGTTTTTGGGTGTGCAGTTTTGGGGTGTAGGCTTTAGGGATTTAGGATCTAGGGTTTAGGGGGCGGAGGAAGTAGGACCTACCTCAAGTAGGTGATAATTGGAGTGATAGCTCTCAAAATTGGTGTTGGCTTTCTTATTAGCCCCTGCATGACGTACTTACTAAGTAGTTGTCCAAGTAGTTTCCGTAAACTTGGTGTTGGCTTGCTTATTAGCCCCTGCATGACCTACTTACTAAGTAGTTGTCCAAGTCGTTTCCATAAATAGGGAGGACCTGAATACCTGAGTTTCTATTAATTGGGGGTCAGGAATTCATGAAAAAGGAGTATGTTTGACCCTCCGATACATAGCCTGCTACATGCCTCGATACATACCCCCACAACGTCCCTCTTGTCAAGAGCCCGGTACTACGAAGCATATTCCGAAACATAGTTCGAAAAATACCACGAAACATACCACAAAACAAGCCCCGAAACATACCCCCGAAGCATATCCCAATCCAAACATGCTAGTTTGACTACGGTTTAGCCGGAAGCGCCCATATAGACCCTAGAATATTATAATCCTGATTATAGGTACCCGCAAAAAGGGTCCCCCAATTTACGAACACCCTTAAGCGAGGTTTAGAGACCTGACGAATTTAATAAGTATCCTGGAGATATGAAGTTGGAAACAGAAGGTAACCCCCGAAACCCTAAACCGTGTATAATCTAGGTGTATAGTCAGATAGGAGCTCAAGGTTTAAGGTTATAAAGAGCAATACAGGGGTTATACAGGGATATAGGGGGAATGGAACATGAAATGGAATTGCAGCAGGGTTTAGGGGGTATGGAGGCTTTCAGGCTTTCCAGGTTTGGGGCTCAGGGCTTAGGGCTGATGGCCCTGTTGAAGCAATCTACAGGAGGATGGTTATCGGGGATAATGACTTGCATAGGACTTAGAACCTGGTACCTTACAGAAGCGGTGCTTCCAACTTGTTAATAGAGGGGCCTAAACGGTTTAGTTGTTAGGGTTGGTGTTGAAGATTGTGCATGTGGGATGCCCCAACTGAGACTTTTGATAATCTTCAGGAGTGATACTAGAAGCGCTCGGTATAGTCACAATGAGAGTTCAGAGTTGGGACAAGTAAGCTTCCCAGAGTACAGTTGAGAAACCGAGAAGCTTTTAGGCTTGCGGCCTAACTTCAATTTGGGCAGTCTTTTGCAACCTTCATTCCGTCTGCTGTTCTTGGTTCGATGCTACTTAGACCTAAACCTTATTAGCAGTTCGCGGGGCTCAGTAAATATTCAAAGCTGCTGGGCTAAAATCCTAATGTCCTCCCCGACTACGCGTGACCTAGCTTTTCTGCCATAACTGCTTGCCAGTGTTTTAGCTCCAAGCGACGAACCCGGAAGCACTAGGCTGGGTATTTCCAAGACAGGATCTTCTGGGCCAACCGACATTGGATGTGTTTGGTGGAATCACGTAATGTTCTCACGTAATGTTCAGGGCTTAGGGCTTAGGGTTTACGGCGCAGGGTGTAGGGTCGACGGTCAGGGGGCGCTAAGCTTTGCTTTCGTAACTGCAGACCCACAACTCTGAATTCTCTTGATGGAGCCACTCTTGACTTCAGCCTTAGACCCCCCAAAGCACCCTGGACCGCGAACACTAAGCTGTACACCCTACGCCCAACACCTCCAACCTTGAACCCATTAAAGAGAGCTTTAAGCTGAAGTTCTGAGCCTCAAACCTCGAACCCAGAACCCTAAACTGCAATCTCTAGAGTGGCCCTAGCTCCAGGAGCACGGCTGGAACCTCCGGGCACAAAGATCCAGGCCAGCGCGGCCTGACCCAAAGATTAGGGATTGGGGATTTAGGGTTTAGGGTTTAGGGATATAGGGTTTTGGGTTTAGGGATTTAGGGTCTACTGGGTCAGTGTCGAAACGACTTTTACTTCTGTTATACTAAAGCCCAATAAGAGAATTAGAGTTTGAAACATTTAAGCTTTTTATATCGCAATGTGCAACCATGTGAAGGCTTGAGTGAGACGGAGTTTCATGGATGAGGGTTGAGGGTTTGAGGATGTTTTTGAAATCTACGGGTTATGGTTTAAGGCCTCGAGGGGTACTTGGAGGGTCACTGGTACTTAGTGACAAAATGGTGCGATTTCCCTAAGATGGGATAATTACTGTGGATCCGTACAAAACCCTAAATCGTAAAACCTGAACCCTCAACCCTAAACCCTAAACCCTGTATATGTGGGTTCCTAACCATCTCGCGTTTCGGTTAGCTTCCCTCGTCTCGTGTGGCTGTGGGGAACATGCTTTAGGCAAAATAAGCCCTCAACCCTAAATGGTAGTTTCCCAAAATAGGGGGACCCCAATATAGACACCAAAATATTTTACTCCTTATTACAGGGACCCACCCAAAAAGGTATTCCTAATTTTGGGAAATTCCCAAATCTGAATCCCAGTACTGATTAATGTTACTGCTGCCGCTGCCATGAACCCCGAAGAAGATCTCCAGAAACAGGTTTTAGCGTTTGGTTTTGGGCTTCTTGCGCGCTGTGCATGTCCAGCATGTCGAGTTCTTTGTAATTGGGTGCAACTATCATAGCGTCAGTTTCGGGGCTGCTACGTACAGGATTTGATGCTCGACTTTGGTGTAGGGTTGTTTCAGGTGCTTTCTCAAGGTTTCCATTTGAGGTTTCCAAGAATTAGGGTTCGAGCGCCTAGAATGCGCAAAATGGATGTTTTCGGAGGGACCCTCGTTTTTTGAAAATTCTTAGATGGGCCTTTGTCAGCATTACGGCATTCTCAGGTTTGCTATTAAGGAGCTTAACCCAAGTTGCCATGATATGGATGTAGAGTGAAGACTTTGTTTTCCCGCAACTGCAACTTGATTTTAGCTCCCTAGCCCTAAGCCCTACACCTTAAGCCTTTACAGCAACCCAGATCTATGGGATTCGCTGCTGCCCTGGTTTGGTGTTTAGGGTCTGTGAGGCTTCATGTCTTATGAGTCACTACGACAGCTAAATCGTGTTGTAAGAGTATCGGATCAGTTCTCCATGAATATGTCTAGATCTCTCATAGCCCAACGAGACATGGACTGCTGCAAGCTACATGCACCCCAGTGTTTGCCAAGCCGCGCGTGCTCGCAATGTCTAGCAGGAAAGTTATTACAACTGTGGTCCCTTTTGTGGGTCCTGATTTTCGTGTGGCCCCTGGAAATCGATGGTATGACAAGCCCACGGAGACCAATTCTGCCAACCAGCCAAACCCTAAACCCTGAGCCCTAAAGCTAAACCCTAAACCCTAAGACTATAATATGCTGCAACATTCTATAATCTACCGTAATTCAATATACTATCATATACTATCATATACTATGATATACTATACTATAACATACTATAGTCTACCATACTATGCTATCACATACAAGAACTGCTACTGGAGGAGCCACTGGAGCCTTCGGCTTCCAGAACTTAGGGGCCATTTGTGGCGGTCCCTCTCAGCAGGGTTTTTGTAGATTGGGGTTAGGGTTTAGGGTTTGGGGTGTAGGGTATAAGGTTTAGGGTTTGGGGTTTTGGGTTTTGGGTTTAGCTTAGGGATTCGGGATTGGGGTATGAAAAGCGGGACCCCTCTTTTGTGTCAACTGAGACTTCAACCTTGTTTTGATGCCCATGCGCACCGCAGCACGGCTGAACTCTGGTACAACGTCTGATATCTTAAGCTCCAAGCAAGAACGCCCTTTAGTCAAACAAGCTTCGCCTACATCTTGTTGTGAGGCGATGTGGACGAGAATGATGTGCGGTTGTGGGAGGCGGGGGACTCTACACGATTTAGTATCAAACCTCAAGAGCGAGGGTGCCAAATCTGGTGCAGTGGGCCGTTTCAGGTATTTGGGGTACAAAGCATTTTCACATGAGCTGAAGCATGTGCACAAACGGCAAGTCCTGACATCAGTACCAGCAACAGCAGCAGCAACAACAACAGTGCCAGCAACAACCCTATTTTGAGATTTGATCCGGACATCTCAAGCAAAATTCGATGACTGGGTTGCCGAACTTAAATTATGTTACCATAACATGGGCATATACTAAATGGGGTTTCCTTATTATGGTCATGACTTAATTTGAGTTCTTTAGCCCAAGTAGGCCCGTACCTTCTTATTTATGAGTAGAACTTTGTAATGGGGAGAGTGCAGTCCCCAAATACAGAGCAAGATGACCGTCTCCTCGGGGGTATGGGAAATATGTTCCTGCTTGAGCTAACCGCCAAAAACACTACGTAACATGGATTGGCAGTGATGGCTCACACTGAAACTTCTGGATTACCTAAGTACCTCCCTTGATACTACCCCTAGCTAGGTTTCCACTCGATTATTATAGGCTTATTGAGGGTTGGACAAAATTAGTTAAGGGGTAACCTTAGGGGAGGTCCGGTGTTGAGCAGAAACAGTCATAATCCAAACTTGGAGTGGCTGTGTAGTGGAGCAGGAGAATTGATTGTTTTGCAGCTTGATACATCCAGGGTCTGTAGGACAATGTCCACTATTGACACATGTACATATTAGGTGCGATGTTCATTTATAATGTATTCTTATAAACCAATAGATGTACTATTGTTGCTGCTGGAAGATACAATAATTATGTCTGAGTTTATATATCACGTGAAACAGCAGAGTACAAAGAAAACACAGGTTTAGCGTTGACTAATATCAATGATGAAAATAGGAATGCTCCTATATGTCCCATAATATTTTAGTAATCTTTGATCGTCTAAACCTCATGTAGAAAGATGCTTATATATATATATACACATATTCATGTTCGGATGGTTGAGAGGCACCTATCTATGAGATGTGAGGGTGTATTGGGAGGAACCCCAAAATCAAAGGTTTGCATTTTATGTGATACAAAAACAGGGTACATGGCATTCTATGGCAGAATCCGTTGCTTATATCTTTGCAAGAATTCTGTGAATCATAGATTGTGCGGGGGATTTTTACTTTCCATAATTGGGGGAATAACGGGCTCTGGATATGACCATATTTGTGAAAACCCGTGCACGGCCCGTGCACAGGGATTTGGAGGAGAATTTGTGTGGCAGGCTCATTCCATTTGGCAGCCGCGTATAGCAGAGTTCCATTGGACCCGCTTAAATTTTTGAAGCCACAGCAGAATCTCTAATTCAGGTGGTTATTTGCATTCAAAATGTCCAGATTGCTTTGGGGTCACCTTCATGCAGATGATAGTCGTTTCTGGATGAACCAGCTCATGAAAACAACCTGTCTTGTACATTGATCGGATACACTTGTTAAAGTCATGACCGTGAAGATACCGCAGGACACGGTCACAAGAAGATTCAACATGTGAGCCTACTCTATGGTTACAATCCTCAGAATCACGTAGAAAAGCCGTGTTTTCGCTGTAACACATTGGCCAGTATTCTGATGTACTCTCTTATGACTTTAGGGTAGGGTTTAAGGTTTAAGGCTCACCGATGCTGGCCTCCCCCTCGCCTCTACCTGATTCTCCACTTGCTCCCGCACACTGAACCCATGAACCCTCCAGCGTCGGACGCCTCAACCCTAAACCAACAAACGCCAGAGCCCTAAACTCTAAATTCCTAAACCTTGAAACTTAATCCTTAAACCCTAAACCCATTAAAACCCAAAACTCTAAACCCTAAACCCTGAACCCTATACCCTAAACCCTAAACCCTTGGACTCTTTAAGCCGTGAGGCTCGAGAAGCGCTCCTGGTACTCCTGCAAGGCTTCCGGCGGAGGAACCTAGCAGCTTGACTCTAAGGCATTAGGGTTTAGGGTATAAGGCTTACGGTTCAGGGTTTAGGGTTCAGGGCTTATGGTTTACTGGGTCTGGGGTTTAGGGTCTAGAGTTTGAGGTTCAGGATTTGCGGTTTAAGGTTCAGGCTTTAGGGTTTCAGGTTTCAGGGTTCAGGGTTGAGGGTTTAGGGTTCAGGGTTTAGGGTTTTAGGGTTTAATGGGTTTAGGGTCTAGAGTTTATGAGGCATATACTAGGTATGCAGGGACCCCACGATTAAGGGCCCATACCACGGTCCCGTAGTTTTTACCTGAGGTTTATGGCTGCGCACTGCCAGGAATAGGCAGGGAAGGGGATTGAGGGTAGATGCCAGAAGTAATAGAAATACGGTACGCGTATAGTTCAAATCAATTTTCAGTTTAAGCGACTAGGTCCTAGAGTTCTAGGACCTTGTTCTACCCACCGCCCAAACACCCTCGACTCAGAAATGAGGCCGAAATAAGCGCTGACTAACTTTTAGCTGAACCTTAATTTGACCTCATTTGGCGGTGGGGGAGGTTAGGTTTGGGTAGTACAGGATCAGATGATTAGATGGCCGTCATCCTTGTTGTCGTGCTCACGGTCTTACTTGTTAGGTGGTCGTCGCTGTAGAGCCCTCAAGTCCTATGCCGTCACATCCAAGACCCTGCCACCTTGCACCCGAAACCCTAACCCTTAGACCTCTATGCACTGAACCCACGAACCCTAAACCCCTAAGCCCGATACACCTAAGCCAAAAACGCTTAAGCCCCAACACCAACACCCCCTCGACCCCGTAGCAGAGCTTGAAAGCCAGGAACCGAAGCCGGAAATCCTTGCCAATCTGTTGCACAATGCCGCCTTGCTTTCGGTCAGAGACTCGCACTTGGGCTGAAGCAGAGTTTTCCCCCGCGAGGGCGCAGGAGTTGCGGGGCGATAGTTTAGGGTCTGCAGGTTTTGGAATCGTGTGGGTCGGGTTCATCCAAGCAAAGATCAAAGTTTTCAAGAAGAACTAAGAAGGGTATGGATCTTTCCAAAAGAGCTCCAGAACAGGGGTTCTGTGCCTGTTTTTGTTTTGGGGAGAGTGGGAATTGCAGATGTGGTTTGGGTGTGGGGCTTGCGCAGCTCCAGCGTGGCAGTGCTTTCGAGCTTTGTCGTGTAGGGCTCAGAACTCGTTTGTGAGGCCGGAGCCCAATGGTATGATTTGTGGAAGTCATGATGACAAAAGTGTCTGGTGTGCAAGGGTGCCCTCAGTTACAGTTGTCCTTTCCTTCCATTTAGCGATTTCTATAAATGCGGGAACCTCAACAAGGACCCCAAGATGCTGAAGTCGACATTTGTGCGAGGGAACATGGGGCGTTCCCTATGAATTCACGAACTCGAGACTTCATTCAGAAATGCCATCGTGATAATTAGTGAGGCCTACGGCGATTCCTGCATTTTTTTCCGCTTATTCTCTTCAAGGAACTTAAACTAAGTTGCCATAATATGGGTATATTGTGAATAGCAGGGTTTCCTTATTATAGTAACTTAGTTTGAGTTCAAGACAGCAACCCAGGGAATCATGGAGTGGAAAAAGGATGATATATATATATACATATGACAAGGATCCACATCTCCCTTACCTACCGAGAATCAGTAAGTGGAGGGAGCGAAGTTTGAGTCGGGTGTAATGCTTGCGGCAGATGTAGGGCAAAGCGGGTAGCCGCCAAATATTGGGTTTAGGGTTTAGGGTCTGGGCGGGACTGTCCTGCGTGGCTGACAAAGAGCCCTCTCCTGCTCTCTCCTCGCTGACACACATGAACTCCTTGCACGCCTTCTGAAATAAAGAACCCCCCCAAGCCTCAACCCCGCTCTTTTGTCGACATGCCCACTGCATTGATATGGGGGTGTCCCAAAATCAGGGGTACTTTTTTGGGGTCCCCTTAATAAAGATTCTCGTATCTTGCTGTATTGGGGTCACAGCAATTTAGGGAAACTGCCATATCTGCAAAGTGGCTTTTCTGCGACACTCTATTGGAATCACATTTTCCTGCTTGGGATTCCACAACGTAGGTGGCCCAGCCAAACGGTACGCTAAAGACGGAAGAACGGTTTTGGAAAGTGCATCCTGCCCTGAACTGCTCCGAACCCTAGACTCCAAGCCTTGACCCTGGATCTCTCCTGCGATTTTTGGTCTAACCACTGCTTTTTACGGTTCTCAAAATGCCACGCTTCTTTTGTGAGTCAGAGGGTTCCAGAAAACAGGTGTCCTGCGGGCTATCCCCAGGAGACCTCTGTTTGGACCTAGGGTGCAATCTGTCAGGGTTTGGGGTTCCTTTTGTTTTGCCACCCTCCGTATTTTGAACCCGACGCCCTTACACCAAATTAGCAGGGAACCCATGCAAGCCAACTGAAAGGACAGCAGTCTTGGTAAGGCCTTGTTTGGGTGTAGCTACGCTGTTCGCAAAACCTAACTGGAGGTTTGTAGGGAATGCAGGTGTGGAAGCTACTGTCGGGCTTCGGGCTTTGAACTTAGAGACTAACATGATGTAGGAAGCCCTATGCTAGATAATCCCTTGTAGTAGTTTGGGTACTGCCCCCCCCCCCCCAAAACAGTCTATAATCGGGGCCATATTCAGGGCTTCATATTCGCATGATACGTACTATCGAGCTATTTCTGGGTGGGGGCAGTACTCAAATAATAGTCTACATCTATTCCATCCAACTACATCCTAAATCTTAATGGCTTTTACTAGCGAATAGGGGAACATAATCCCTATCTATTCCTTATAATATAATCTATGCCTTCCTTCCCTACTAAGATCCCGTAAGAAATCGTCTGCCAGTAAGAACCCTAAACCCTAAACCCTAAACCCTACACCCTAAACCCTAAACCCTAAACCCTAAATCCTAAACCCTAAACCCTAAACCCTAAACCCGAAGCATTCTGACCGCCATCAAGGCATTGGTTCATTCTGTGCCAAAGGCTCATGGCGCCGACCCTACGGGTTCAGCTTACTGGTTCTTAGTAGGGAATAAGGGTATATATGAGGGGATAATATGGGGATTATATCCCATTATTTCTTTGTAGGGAATAAGGGAAAATATGATAGGGGATTATATATAGGGATTGTATCCCATTCTTCCCTACTTACTGGTTCTTAGTAGGGAGTAAGGGTATATATGATAGGGGGTTATATAGGGATTATATCCCATTATTCCCTACTAAGAACCTGTAGGTTCAAGATCCAAGAAACTGGGGTGCTCCCTATATCCGCCAAGAATTTACAATGCATCCCTATTTCAGGAATCTCCCAAAAGGCAACCCCTAAATTTTGGAAACCTCCACGTCTCAAGTCATGTGCTCGTGATCCTTATGCGCTGGTTGCCAGCTGATTGTCTCAAATGGTCATGACGGAGCTAAAGGCCGATAAAGGCTAGAAGATGTACAATGGTAATAACATCTAGTACTGATAAGAAGAATCGTTGTTATTGAAATCATAATTCCATGTGTTGGGCAGGTTACTTGGGGGAATGCACTTAGATTATATAACCCTTACTTCCCGCTATAAAAGGAACACAGATACATATATATATATATGTATATATATATATACACCTACGTAATCCCTATATCCCCCTTTATGGTATGTCAGGTTTGAGCTCTGGATGAGAGCTAGGGGGGAACCCGATGGCGAGTAGAAGGTAACCACGCAGTTTAAGGCAGGCTTACGCCTCACGCCTTCCTGGGTGGAAACCTCCCGGTTTATGGTTTAGGGTTTAGGGTTTACGGACCTACTGCGAGGGTCAGGGGGACCGAGTAAGTAGGTAAACAATGCGGGACATTTGGGTTATTACATGGTTTACCCCGCTGCTGCAAGACTGAGGTGCCGAGTTCAGCGCACCCAAAGAGAGCACCGCACAGCATGGCACCATCACCTGCTGAAGCGTTCATGGAGGTTTTATCGGAGGCCTCGCTGGGGTAGGAAATCTCCTGACGGTTAGGCTTCGGTGTTAAGGAACCTCGAGGGTCTACTAGGAATTCAACAGGACTTGCAAGAAAGACGATGGGATGGTGCCAGAAGTGTGGAAGCATCACTCTGCAGCAGACAGGAAGTCTCAAACTTTTTCAAGGGTTCTGGGAATTTCGAAGTTTCATGTAAAGCTGCTTGAGGCTTGGCAGAGAGGAAATCACACGACTCTGAAGGGTGCATATTATTAAGGGGTTATTACACCAATAATGGAGAATGAAAAACGGACAAGAAAATGGGACATGAAATGGAAACTGGGTTATTTTGGATTCTATATGGTTGGTGTTAAATCCTGCATGAGCGGCGTAAACCCTGAACCCGTAAAGAAGACAAGGGTGCTACACCCTAAGCCCTAAATCCTAAGCCCCGGGTTGTAAACTTAGATCTGGCTCACGACATGGCTTTTTGCCCTTTACACAATATGGGGGTTTCCCAAAACTAGGGGTGCCCTTCAAGGGGTTTGCAGGGGGGTATATAGGGGTTATATAGGGTTTAAAGTTTACCACAGTCTACCGTCCCCCTTTGGGATTTCGAGTCCTTACCCAGAAGCACAACCTTGCAAGTGGTTAGCAGAGAATGGAGGCATGAATCCTTATGGTAGGCCATGTTTCCAGTATCAGCCTCGAACCCCCAAATCCTGAATCTCAAGGCGCAAATGCTGAAGGATATTGTGATACAGTGGTTTCCATTTATCGTTCTACTCCCTCGTTCCCCAGTTACTAACAGCAGGCCTTACGCCCCAACCTCTAATTAAATCACAGTTTTTTATTTGTTTTTTCTTTGGTGTCTCATCCTTGTCAGTTGTTGATACTAAAGAGCCGCATAACCGTCGTATACTATACTACCATAAGTCCCAAGGTTTGGGGTACTTAAGGTCATGCAGGATTTGTAGTATCCGCCGTCGGCCCTAAACCTCACAGGCAGCAGCCCTACACCCTACACTCTAGATCCGAAGCCCTAAGCCCAAAATCACGAATATTTGGAGCTTACGCTATTTAGGGTTGAAAGTCCAAGGGTCTAGGGTTTCGGGCTTCGGGGCTTAAGGGCACCAACCCACTGGCATCTCACAGCTGTAGCAACATCGCTAAACATCTATCTTCTATGCATCTGAGGGGGCCTCTAGCGCTGACAGCTTCTGATTCTCACGTCACAATTTCAATGTCTTGCAAGATTCACTCAAACAGGACCCACTCAACAAACAAATGTACCCTCAACATATTCTTTCAAGTACTCACTCAAATGTCTTTCGAAACTCAACCAAATAGTACCAAGTCAACCAAACTTTAACCCCCAAACCCTAAACCCAACACCCTAAGCCCCAATCCCTGAACCCTAAACGTAAACAGGCAGACTTGGCAAAGACCACGCTGGCCCTTGCGCGGCTGTCCTTGCCGCAGCTCGTAGACGGTGCCTCCCTGTTTTCCAGGTTCCTTGGGATCCTGTCCTTGGGGGTTCGCTGGGGTTTAGGGTTTAGGGGTTTACGGCTTAGGGTATAGAGTAGCTGGGAATGAAGGAATGGAAAAGGAACATGGAAATAACTATAATGGGTTAGATAGGGACTACTATCTGGATCCATTCTCTGATTCCTAGCTAACCAAAGGTGATTTTAAGGTTATGGTGTAGGGCTTGGGGTTTAGGGGCTAAGGCTTACTCTTTAGGGCTTAGGGGCTAGGGCTTAATTGGTACTGCAAAATTCCTGCATTACCTTAGGGAGTAGGGCATCCTAGTCTATAAACCCTAAACCCTAAACCGCATAGGGTGTTTTCAACATCAGCAACATCACGGAGCTAAAGTTGAGCCTGGTAGTTGCTAGGGTGGACAAAAGATCGGACATGGCAAATTGCATATGGTAGGGTACCTAAATAGGGTGACCCCAATACAGACCCTAGATACTATAGTCCTTATTATGGGGATCCCCAAAAAGGTGCCCATGATTTTGGGAAGCCTCCATATAGGGAATCAGTAGGCAGGCTTCTCTTTAAGAATCTCCACAAGAACAGCAGAAGCTTCCAACTAGCAGACCTACAATGCCAACGACTTTGCGTGCAGGCCCCGCTTGAAGGTCCATTACGTTTAGTAAGTGCTTCTAAAGCGGGGGCTTCGACCCCTACTTACCATTGGGATAGCCCCTATAAGGCCAACAAAGTGCAGTACAAGTAGGATTACAAGCGCAGTTATACGTAGCTATACTAAGTCCCATTGACCCCAGAACCCTCCAAACCCTGAACCTTATACACATCCCCCTGTAACCTCTTTAAGGGTCCCTTACTAAGTCTCATGCCCTAAACGCTAAACCCAAACCCCAAACCCTAAACCCTTACACCCATTCCTCCCCTTGCGTTAGGGCAGCCGCCTTGGTACGACAGCCTGCTGCTGCAGTTGCTGTGCTTGAGGCACTGCGAGAGCATAGTGGTGTAGGGATATGTAAGGATATAGGTAGTGCGAAATTCCTTGTATTCTTGTTGTATAGGGTACCTCAAACATCAAATTTGTACGTACTTAGGCTCCCTAGAAGATAATGCTCTGGATGATTTCTATAGTGGTCTTTGTTTGCATTGGTATAATTGCAACAATGAGGCTAGGGAGCAGCTCGAACAGGCAGGGGTGCCCTCAGCCCCAAAAAGGTCTAAACACTAGATCCTTATCAGAGGACCCTGGGAGTAAGTGCTGATATTAAACCTAAACCCTACACCCTACCCTGAACCATAAACCTTAAAACCTAAACTCTAAATCCTAAATCCTAAACCTTAAACCGCGCCTAAACCCTAGCCTATATTTGGTACTTTCCCGAAATTTGGGGGCCCCAATATAGACCCCAAAATGCTATAGTCCTTATTATAGGGACCCCCAAACAAGGTACCCCCAATGTTGGGAAACCCCCATTTCTAAACTTAGAGAATAGGGCCAGCTCTGGCGAGGTGAGCTTCTCCGGTTCAATGGTGGAGGGCAGTGGAATGATGTAGGGATTGTAGAAGGTTTAAGGCTTGGAGTTGTAGGGTTTAGGGTTTAAGGTTTAGGAGTTAGATTTAGGGTTTAGAGTTTAAGGTTTCAGGTTTCAGATTTGGAGTTTAGGCTTTAGGGTTTAAGGTTTAGGAGTTCGGTTTAGTTTAGTGGATCTTCCCCAGTAGCTAATGGAGAGCCAAATGGAAACGAACATGGACAACGAAACGGAAACTGGGTTTCTGTTGTTTGTTTTGGGATGATGTACTATAGTGCTTAAATGATACCGTACTGTGGTCCTAGACCCGTTGCCTAGTTATAGTATGCGGTACCCCAAGTGGTCCTCAACCAACGGGCTCCTATGTTAGACTTTGGAAGGGATGAGCCTAAGTGAATAGAACAGGGTTTCGGCAAGGGTTTGGGTTTTGTGATCTCCCCTCAGCCAGTGATAGTGGTATGACTTAACAGGAATATATAAAGTGATTTCAATTATCGCTCGTGGTCATCATTTTTTACATGTAGGTGCCCTAAGCCCAAAACCCTGAAACAATATATGCCCTGTATAACCCTACATAACATAATATAGTAGTTTCCATTTTATTTTCCGTTATCCCAATATATACCCTATTACAGTGTCTTGGGTGCTTGTTTGCTATGATGCAGTTGCCTCCAAGCCTTCAGGAACCTTTCCTCAAGCCTAGCTGTTTAGGATTTTCACCCATTTTTGTTTAGGTTCTTTGGGTGTCTCAAGCGCGAGCAAGGTGTTGCAAGGGTTTGTTCAATGGCTTTCATGGTTTTCTGCGTCTTCTGGGATTTAGCGGGTGCGGGCTTAGGCCGCCGAGATACAGCTGTGAAGGTCTTCGGGAGTATTGGAGGTTTCAGCGCCGAAGCCAGTTTCAGTAAATCTGGAATCCCCTAAACCCTGACCAAACCGTTGCTGTTTTAGCTACATTTTGTGTTTTGTGTCAGGTTTTCCGGGTGTTTTGCGTTCTTGCAAGACTCGTCTTGCGCACATGGATGCGGTGGTGTCCTTCTGGGGTATGTGAGGCTTGAGGTCAGGCACAAATACAAAGCATGCCCAATGCAGGGGCCTAAGCCCTGGTCCCTTGTATATTTGTGGTATAGGATCCCTCAAATGGACTTGAAGTGACATTGGTAAGCATTTCGGCTTCTAACACCCCTAAAGCTTAAGCCTTGCATAGAACCGAAGTTTTCATTTTCTTTTCCGTTTGATTCTGCACTATTGGTGCTTGCTTCGGCCCCTAGCTAAAGCCTAAACCCTCAACTGCAAACCCTAAGTCTTGTAATGTTAACCCGACAAGACTACCCCTTTCCCCGAACAAAAAAAATGTTGTTTTGCGCTTTTGGTGTACGGAGGGGGGAGTCGCAATACTGAAAGGGGGGTGGGGGTAGGACCAAGTAGTACAGGTCGTAGTTTTAGTAATACATGTCGGGATATTCTTGGGCGCGGAGTTTGATTATTGTCACCGCTTTAGTTTTGCCGATCGAACTTGTTTGTAGTTTTCGGGTTCCGAGCTTGTTAGAAAGCAAACGTAACCCTTTGGACATTTTCTGGCTCTGCGAGAATGGTTTATTCTCAATCAATACATCCGAAGATCTCCCTACCTATCCCTATGCTTCCCCACATATCCCTATATCTCCCTATAAGGCGCTCCCGCCCTGAGCCTTGAGCCGTCTTTGAAGTCAAGTTCTAATCCACTTTGTTATCTAGGGTTCAGGGTTTAGGGTTTAGGCCCCAATAATGACCCTCGACCCCCCTAATTCCCCCAAAATGGGACCACAACTTGTTATTAAGAATCTTTGTGAGTAAGGGGGGGTCTTGGAAGACTTGTGTTCACGGGAAGGGGATCACGGTTCCTTCCGAAGACGTGTTTTCCTGGCACCTAGCTACAGCTTGAATAGTATTTTTTGAATGTTTTTTTGCAAAAGAATGTCTGTAATAACCTCTAAATTTCTGGATCTTGTTTAGAGGCGCTTACGGCAAGCACTGCGCCGTTCCCATTGATGGAGGGGTTTCGAAGCAAGGGACCTGCAAGAACAAATCCCTCTAGACTCTTGAATAGTGACATCATATAAGCTATAGTCTAAACTCCTTAAAGGGGGGTTATATGGGGGATTATATAGGGGACTACTATAGGGGTTATTAAGGGGGATACTAGGAGTTCAGACAATGGCTCATTTAACGCCTTCATTATCTCCAGATTTCCCGAGGGCCCCCTTTGGGCAGCACAACTTATCAAAGCTGAGGCCCGTGAACCCTATAGCCCTAAATTGTAAACCCTGAACCAAAAACCCCAAACCCGAATCCCTAAACCCTAATCCTTAAACCCGAAACCCTAAACCCTAAGCCCTAAACCCCTAAACCCCTAAACCCTTAATCCCTAGACCCTTATCCCTGATCCCTAAACCCACTTAACCAGGCTGCAGCCATCTTTGCCCTCACGGAGCGGCGCCCACAGGACGGTTTTCAGCCTCCGTGGGTAGCCAGACAATCAGACAATTGATGCCGGGTTTGTCAGTATATGATTAATACCCACTTTAAACCCTAAAGTATAGGGTTTGGGGTTTAGGGTTCAGGATTTAAAGTTTTGCGGGCCCCCTTAACTCCCCCCTCCCCCCAAGGTTTAGGGATGTAGAGTTTAGGGGTTTCAGGGTTCAGGGTTAGAGCTTGGAGCCAAACAGATGGCTTGTTTTGTGGATTCTCCTCACCCCCCCCCCCCCTCTAGAACCCCCGTAACGTTCCCTTGATTGGCCTATTTATCCTTAAATAAGATTAAGGGAGAATCTTGGTCGGGGGGTAGTATGGAGGAGGGTGATGAAGTGAACCATAACCCGCAAGTTACCTGAACATAATTTCCAGTTTGTACTGTCTATCATGAAAAACGCACTGAAGCTATAATTTCTACCAGGGGTCCAGGGAATTGTGTGCTTAGCCAGACCGGCCTCAAGGTCTTAGGCCTGGGAGCTTTATGTTCTGGGTGGCAGAGGGATCAAGAGATCGCGTATCATCGACATCTTCCCGCAAAAGCATGGACGCCCACGACGTACTCTTGAAACAGAGGGCGCAGTCTGCAAAGGCCGCTTTTCTAGTTTCCATGTGAGCTTAGGGGAGGGAAAGGCCTGCACATGTAGACTTGCACGCGCCAGCGGATAGTCACAATGGCTGTTCTTCTCATCTTCAATGTGTTTGAGATCATGTTTCAAAGCCGCCCAGAGCAAAATCTGAAAGCAGCGAAACCTTCCAGGTACAGGGCTTGGGACACTTAAGTGCTTTTCTTCGCACACCTTGTACTGTTGGCCTGTAGAGAAAAGATACGCCTCCACAATTGCAAAGCAACTTGGGTTTCCTTCTTAGATGGGCTAGGACCTGGAAACTGCGAACCGGCACAACCATTGGCAGAATTGGAAAGATTGGTAGATAGTCTTGCTATGTACCCCCCCCAGTTGACAACAATACACGCAACACCCAAACCATGAGACCTAAATGCTCAAGCTCGAGAGCCCAAACCCTGATGACCTCTCCCACCCCCAAGTCCACGTGCACCGCAAACTCTTGCTCTATTGACTTAGTTTCCCCGCATGAGGATTTTGAGGTCGCCGTCCTGGGTTCTGCAGATTTGTGGGTTCGGGTGAAGTGTTCAGGGGAAGTGTTCAGGGTTTAGGTTGGGGGAAGCTTGGGCGCAAACCTTGTTCGTAGTTTTGAAACGCCAGTTCGGTACATAAGAGACCCGCCGTGTTGGGAGGATTTAGTATGTAGGCTGACACTGGGGACTACTCCTGGCTGTAGGTATCATACGTATACTTACGAGGGCCACGATCCTTGCGAGTCTCTATCAGAGAGGTCATGCTCTGTAGGTGAATATAAAGGAACACAAAAGAACACTTAGTTTGAGACATAATATCATACTTGCCTTGAACCCTAAACCCTTGCTGGAAGGATCTCACGCCTGCGGCGTTGTCTCCGCTTGTTCAGGCAGTGCATGAGGGACGAAGGCTCCTGTGCGATGTTGGGGTTTGGGAACATTTCTTGATATGTGCAGCTTAGGGTTTGAGTGTATAGGATTAAGGGTTGAGAAAGGGCTTCGGGCTAGGTTTTGCCCTCCCATGTAGGACCCACCTGGAAGGAAGTTGGTCTTTGTATGATCCATTCCCTAAACCCTAACCCCAAACCCTAAACCCTAAGTAAGTCCTAAACCTTAAGCCCTAAACTTTAAGTAAGCCCTGGACCCAAACAAAGGATGTAAATCTCTGTAGGGCCTCCTTTAGATTCCATGTCAGGTTGGGGGAGTGTGAGGTCAGGTCCCTTGGTCCTCAGCTTGGTCTGATGACAAAATCATTTCATAGTAAGGGGGGCATAGGGTTTAGTGGTTCGTGTTTAGGCTCTAGTGTTTAGGGTCTCAGGGTTTAGGGTTTAGTGTTTGGTGGAAGAGAAAGCGTCCCTAAACCCTTAAACTTTCCAGATACAGGTTTCCAAAAAGTAGGCGAATCCCCAGTAACGACCTATAGACCCCAACCTGCCAATAACTGCACCCCAAACCATAACCCAAGAAAGAATCTTACAGTGGAGAAAGGAAATCATGTACCAGGCTATACACCTTGTACCCCAGGAATTACACTGCTATGCGGGACCAAAGTGGGCAAGATTTCCTTTATCCATTGTATGGAGACCTCATAAACGGACACCCCCCAATCAATCCCCTAAACCCCAAACCCCGAGCCCAAATCCCACTTCTGCTTGAGCCTTGATTTGCTTTTCGAAGTGGGAATGCACTTGGATGGTTGTTGAGACAATGGTCTCTTCATGGCTACCCTAGATGGGGCTTCCCAAAAAAGGGGTCCCAATCTACACCCCAATAAAGGGATCTCCAAAAGAGGACCCCTGTTTTTGTTGGACACCTCCCCGAATCTGGGGTCTAGGGGCTTTGTTGCGCTAGGCTACTTGCTCTCCCTCATCCCTTCCTCTCCTTGCTCCCTGAGTACATCTCTTTGTTGCCCTACGGTGTCCAACAAAAGCCTTATTTAAACAAATCCTACAGTAGCCTATATGAGAGTTGCTCTAAGGGGTCTTTATATGGTCCTTATGGTGGTCCCGCACAACATCCTGGTAGATCCTTTACGGCCTCCCTTTTCGGAGACACCTGTATGATCTTCTCAACCTGCTAGACAATCCTTTCTGACCCAACATGGAGGTGTTAGAAAATGTGCCCCATACAAATCCCTACCAGGAACCCCTTGCGATTCTTTTAAGAACCCTTGTATGTCTAGGGCGTGTTTTTGAGAAACCTCACGCCCAAATCCCTGAGCCCTGAACTGAAATCCCTACATATCCCTATAACCCTTTCAGGGAACCCCATTTTGGAGCCCTTAACCTTACACTCCAAACGGCAATCTCGAAAAAGGACAGTAATCCTCGGCCAGGAGACTGTCGGACGTTGAGCAGCCGGAGGAGGAGAGAGACCTACTGTATACGCTTAGGGTTTTAGGGTTTTGGGGTTTTAGGGTTTCAGGGTTTTAGGGTTTTAGGGTTTTAAGATTTTAGGGTAATGTTGGACCCTGTTTAATGATAGGCCCCCCCC